CTCAGCAACAGAAAGTACCAGACTGAGGTAGACCGGTATAAAGCAATTATTCCAACATTCCACTTTTTTTCATTCTAAAGGGAAAATGGGCTCTTTTGAAAGTCAGATATATATATATATTTAAAGAAGTTCCCCCTGTTGGAAATCAAATCATTTAAATTCCCTCCGACGGCCTTTAAATATTCCATAGTATTCCATATGACAATTACACCAGTGGAATAAATAATGTGCCTTTGATTACAAATGCACAAAGAGTCGGTTGAGATGATGCATTCAATCACAGCACCTTTGTAGACAATGGGATTTTATTACGATCCCAGATTAAACTTTGCAAGATATTTGCTAAGCGAAAAGCCATCCTCGTGGTAACCAAATCGAGGAAGCAAATGGAAGGTTTGTCTGTAAGTTATAGCCGTGTTCCCAACATGCTGGAAGATAGCACATTTTTCATCCCTATCTATATTTACGCCGAAATAATTTATTTAAATAGTGCTGTTTTATAGTCTCCCGCCTTTTGCTAGCACAAACTTCAGCCTACACTGCAGAGGGTGCAATTCATTTCCTCAATGTAATTTTCATCTCTGCATACTAATCGATTTTTCCACAAACACCTGCTATCAGTCACGATAATAAAACTGCCATTTTAAATTGAAAAGGAGTCGAACGCGGCTTCCTTAGGAAATGACTTAAGTGTCTTTCAATGCTACTTAATGCGGTAATGCTTCTGTGGTGCCAACATGTTTCCAGCCCTTTTGCATTTTATATGTTTTTATTCTCTTCCGCCGTTTTCATTGGCATGGAACTCAAAAAGTGAGGCTAACATTCGTTGGTGGATTTTTCATATCTCAGAATAGAATAAAATAGAATAGAATAGAATAGAATGGAGTAGAGTAGAGTAGAGTAGAGTAGAGTAGAGTAGAGTAGAATAGAATAGAATAGAATAGAATAGAATAGAATAGAATAGCAGAGTTGGAAGGGACCTTGGAGGTCTTCTAGTCCAACCCCCTGCTCAGGCAGGAGACCCTACACCATTTCAGACAAATGGTTGTCCAACCTCTTCTTAAAAACTTCCAGTGATGGAGCACCCAAAACTTCTGGAGGCAACTTCTGTTCCACAGATGAATTATTCTTACTATCAGGAAATTTCTCTTTAGTTCTAAGTTGCTTTTCTTCTAAATTAGTTCCCATCCATTGCTTCTTGACTTGTCTTCTGATGCTTTGGAGAATAGCTTGACTTCCTCTTCTTTGGGGCAGTACTTTGCTTAACAACTGTGGCAAAACAGGTCATAAAATCAGGTTTGTAACTTATTTAACAAAACCTCGCTTAGCAATTTTATTTTATTTTATTTTAATTTTTTTAGGCCTCCTATTTAAAAAAAGGAGGTGAGATTTCAATCACCCAGTTGTGGCCTGTTAATTTTTTTTTTTTTTAACCTGTGGAGAAGCTTGTAGGACACTTTGAAGGCAGATGAAGAGGTCCTGTGTGTGTGAGAGAGACAGAACCTTTGCTCCAAAATATTCCCATTTACACGTAGTCCTTGACTTACAACAGTCCGTTTAGTGACCGTTCGAAGTTTCAACAGCCCTGAAAAAAGTGACTTACGACCGTTTTTCACACTTAACAACCGTTGCAGCATCCCCGTTGTCACGTGATCAAAACTCCATCCATTGGCCACTGACTCATATTTATGACGGTTGCAGAGTCAGTGGGGAAGCCCAACTCATTGAATGACCGTGTTCCTCACTGAACAACTGCAGTGATTCACTTAACAACCACGGTCGTAAAATGGGGCAAAACTCACTTAACAACGGTCTTGTTTATGAAATGAAAATGTTGGGCTCCATTATGGTCGTAAGTCGAGGAGTAGCCGTATTAAAAAACAGAGGCAACATTTCAAATCAACATTTGGAAGAGAAATTGTTGTTGTTTTTTAAACAAAGAAACGCGATAAGCTTCTTGAATAATCTTTATTAGTTCATTGTGCAGGCTGAGTCTTCGGTAATTGGTCACAGCAGGTGACCAATATTTGTAGCTGAACTTGGCTCTTTCTTGAAAAATTAAATCAGGTTTAATGTTTAAATGAAAAAAAAAAAAAACCCAGGGAAATCCACAGCTATCGGCAGCTGGTCTAAGTTGAATTTTTTTTCTCTCAAAAAAGCAAAGTCCTTCAGTGTTTGTTTGCTAAGAAGACAAGATGGTTGAAGTCTCCCACAGTCCCAAGGGACTCTTATCATCCCTTTCGCTTCAGAAATAAGATAAATGCTCGCGAATAAACATTTGCGATAAACGTTCAGCTCCCGCAGCTGAATCTAAAGAACAGAAAAAGAAAAATTAACTGAAACATTTCTGCACGGAGACTCCGGTCTTCAAGACTTTAAAAACCGATAAAAGGAGCCATCTCTTTGAAGGCCAGTTGGAATAAGACGCTTTAAAAACAGGACTCGCGTTTAAGGGCATAAAAGAACTGAATCTGTGATCTGAAATATTTTTGGTTTTTTTTCCTCGTGCAAAGATTTTACTGCAAGGTCAGGCATGTTTTTCAAGGAGAATATTGAGCCAAATTAAGGCCGGGGAGGTGGATTGAAAAATCAGAATTTGGTATTGGCACCCGTGAACCAAAATGGTTGGATAAATGAGACCAAAAGCAGAAAAAAAGGCTAAGAAATAATTTTAAATTAATTCAGTATATGAAGAAAAAAAGTTCAGGAAACTCCAGTGTTCAATAAGGAGGAAGGCACATTTTCACGTGTTATTTTTGCTGTCATTGAATCATCTTTTTCTGCAGATTCGGTACCAAATACCAAGATATTTGGTATTTCTTGGGCTGAGGAACCAGGAAGTTAAAGCAGGGGGTTGGACTAGAAGACCTCCAAGGTCCCTTCCAACTCTATTATTCCATTAAAGTTTTCATGTTTGGATTCCAAGTCAAAATTCTCCAAGCGCAACAGCTCCAATACCTTTTTCTTGAAGTAATGTTCAAGATAAACTCTTCTGAAAAGGGTGTAAACATTTCAATGTTCACCGCCCTGAGTCCTTTGGGAGAAGGGCGGTGTATAAATAAAATAAAATAAATAAATAAATAAATAAATTTCAATTCCAAAATATTAACACTGGGTTTTTAGAATGTGGGGTAGTAGCATTTTAAGATAGTTTAAAGACTGGTATTTTTAAGGTAGTATAAAGATTGTTATTTTTTTCAGTTAAATGTAGAGAGAGCTTGTTGTATCGTTATTAACTCTGTGCTAGAAAAAAGTCAGAGATTTTTGTTATATATTTGTTCGATGTATTTTCCAGTGCATCTGGATAGTAAGGTGAGCAATATACAAATTAATTAATTAAACAAATAAATAAATGTTTTTGTCACCCTTTCATTTTATTTTTTTTTTGCTATTCCATTTCCCTTTTTTTCTTTTACACTAGCTTGCCTTTTAATGTTTTATGTTGAAAATTAATAAACACATTATTTTAAAAACCTCCAAATATTAAGATCCATTCTTAAGCTGTAAATAAATACCATCCTGGATACATTTTTTTTAATTTTCAGCTTTTTTTTCCTGCAGGAGAAGAAAAAGTGTTTGGTTCAGCTCTATTTGTGTGTCTTCTGTGGTTAAAATCAAATATCCCACCCAACCATAGTTAGGGACTTCTTTGTAAAGTATAGTTCGTGTCCACCAAGATTTGGCAGAAGAATTGAGTTATTGAACCCCTGGTGCTTAAAGAAAATAGAATTCATGCAAAAAAATAGTGTATTACTTGGTGTGAAATCTTAAATCAGGATTTGGGAATCCAATCATTAGATTATAATATAATATTATAATTATAATATTAGATTATATTTTTCTTAGAAGCCTCAGCCATGTTTACAGTCTGTATGGAAACTGTTTTATTTGAGTGTCTGGGGAGGGGTGTCTACCAGACAGAGAAGTACCAATAAAGGAAAATATTTGTCAGGATATAAAGAGTTAATAGCTGTAAACTGATGAGAAGTTGTAAGCAACTGGAAGCTGATGCAATAGAATAAGGCAGCCATTAGAGGGCGTCCATTAAAGGAAACCATTAGAGGGCATCCCTTCTCCTCCAACCTTCTCCTCAAGCCTTCTCCTCGTGCATTGTACTTCTTGTTCTCTCGTCATGTGTATCATTGCTCTTTGTTGTATCAGTAGCTGTAAAGGTATTTAACCATGCATAGGTTAGTAAATATTTCACTGTAGATAAAACCACTGTTATTTATATAAAAGGCTCTGTGTGCTGTGTGCTGTGTTTTGCTCCTGGGTTTATCTCATACTACTAGTTACGCTGCCAAAACTCTGACAATCTTTATAGCTCAGGATTAAAATGAGGGGCCCTTGGTGCTCTTGGTTGTTTTCTTGCAGATGTTTCATGACCAAACTAGGTAGCATCATCAGTACTAGAAGGGAGGAGGGTTTGAGGAGTGGAGGAGGAGGAAGAGGAAGAGAAGGACTGTTAGGTCTTGGGTGTTCTCTGAGCTTGGTTGTTTTCTTGCAGACGTTTCATGACCAATCTAGGTAGCATCATCAGTATTAGAAGGGGGGAAGGTTGAGGAGCAGAGGAGGAGGAGGAGGACAAGGAGGAGAAAGAGGAGGAAGAGGAGGAGGAGGACTGTGAGGTCTTGGGTGTTCTCTTGCAGGTGTTTTATCACTAAACTAGGTAACATCATCAGTGCTAGCTATGACTCTCTACTAGCAGTGATGATATTTGGGTAATGAAACGTCTATAGGAAAACAACCAAGCTCAGAGAGGACCGAAGACAGAGAAGTTTCTATCTAATGGACAGTTGATCTTGGACATTCCCTGGTTAATTCACAGACTGCTATAATCCTGCAGAAGAAGACAGAGTCAACAAGCCAACTCAAGAGAGCATTGATTTCATTTCTTTGACAGGAGCAGCCGCAACTTCCTGTCCCTTTCTTTGTCCCAGTGTAACATCTGTCAGATCTTGTTCTTCTGTCTTAATTACCGACCCTGTTCCTTCTCTCAGCCTTAGCCGTTCAAGCTTACGCCCTGAAGGAAGAGAACGACAGTCTCCGATGGCAACTCGATGCCTACCGCAATGAGGTGGAACTTCTCAAGCAAGAGAAGGGCCAGCTGTTTCGCACCGAGGAGAGCTTGACAAAAGATCAGCAACTCCAGTTTTTGCAGCAAACGGTCCAAGGAATGCAACAGGTACATCTGCTTAACACGTCTTAACCTGTCCCGATCTTGTTCGGTGGGAAGTTGAAGTTTGATGGTGTTCTTAGGAATGGAGAAACATCTCCAGGTTGGGTGCCATCACTTGTGAAGTGGCAGGTAGGAAGGCTGAGTTCTGTTCCAAGAGCCACCCAGCTAGTTTTCATACCTGAGGCAGGACTACAACTCATGGACTCCTGGTGATTGGTCCAAATTCACCCAGCTGGCTTTCATAGATAAGGGGGAACTAGAATTCACAAAATGGTCATAAGTGCCTTTTCCCAGTCCTGTTGTAACTTGTGCCATTGTATACATGAACTGCCACACCGCCATGAGCTTCATCATACCGGCACAGCTGGTGTCCTGCCGCTCACGGCTGTGCCAGTATGTGAAACCTCGTGGCTGTGCTGCAGTTCCTGCATACAACGGCACAAGCCTTGCAGAGTCCAGCTCTACGAGGTGGCGGCGCGACGAGTCTCACAAAGACTCGTTTCTGTTGTGGCCCGCCAGCGGCCTGTGCGGATTGTTGCTGATCCTGACGACGAGGAAGCTGGTGTGGTGCTGTGCCAGCAGCCTGTGCAGCCGGCGCTTGAGTCAGACAGCAAGGAGCTGAAGAAGATGGTGCCAGAGGCAGGGATTCAGTCAGGGCCTTCAGAACCTCCAGAGGCTCCTTAAGTGAAGAGGATGAAGAGGAGGAGCCTCTTCTCAATGCACGGGCATGCAGAGCTGCGAAAAGACAGGAGTGGTTCCTAAGGAGGAGGCCTCCTCGAGAGTAAGACTTGGGGCTAATTGGCCACGCCCTTAGCCTATTTAAGAAAGAACGCAGCTTGTAACAAGCTGCAGGAAACAACTTTAGTTTGCTAATCATCGCGTTGGGATGTCTCTGCAACCTTGCTTCTGGGCTTTCTGCCAACTCCAGTAAGACTCTGACTATCTTATCTGTGGAATTCTGGCAGGCTGTTAAGAACGCTTATTAACAGCCGGCATTTGCTAAAACTGCATTATTTGAGTAAACTAAGTTTGGTTCAGAGTTTGTGTGTGCTGTGTTCTTTGGGATCCGTAGCTGGGGCAGAACAGTTTCTGGCAGGTGGGGCAGAGGAGAAACGAGACGCGTGGAGCGAGACGTGGCTCCCCTTGCCGTCTCTTCTCTCCCACCCCGCCGGGCATGACAGGGCTCCTCTGAGAAGCTTTCTCGCAAGTTCAAAAAGTTTGGCTGAACTCGCGGGAAAGTTTTTTCTACAACATGTCTCCCTGGACAGAAAGGCGAGGAACGTGATGGTGCTCGCAGTCTCGCAGCCCAACACGTCCCGTCCCACCCCCAATGGCAACAGCAGCCGGGCTGCTTCCCTTCCCCACCGTCTCTTTATTGAGAGGGGTGGCAGGTGGGGTGGGGGAAAGCGGGGCGCACGTCTTACCTTTCCAGCACCGTCGCGTTCCTCGCCATTCTGTCCAGGGAGAAACATTGTTAAAAAAAACAACCTTTCTAGCGAGTTCAGCCAAACTCCTTGAACTCGCGAGAAAGTTTTTTTTACAACTTGTCTCCCTGGACAGAATGGCGAGGAACGCGACGGTGCTGGAAAGGTAAGACGCGCTTCCCGCTTCTCGCCTGCCCCACCTGCCACCCCCAAATTGCACTCTAAAGGGGGCAGGTGGCTAAGCGAGGGGCAGGAGCCTGTCATGCCCGGCCGCGGGAGTGGGGTGCGTAGTTGGTGTATAATAAGCCCGATTGGCCTTATTTTCAGGATATGTCTTATTTTCGGGGAAACACGGTACATACATACATACTATTAGATGTCAGCAATCGGATTGCAGTAACCATCTTGCAATTGATATGATCTGAAAATGAAAATCCATTCAATTTAATGGCAGTTCTTCCATTATACTTATCCATTTCTGAGCTAATTTTCCCCATAAAACTCCGTTACACTTTAATTTCGTACCCAGTATGAAGCCTCTAACGAACAAATGGAAATAATGTCTCGTATCCATGGTAACAAATGAGATTTTCTTTACCTGATCTTAAGATGGAATTGAATTATACATCTATGACATTTTAGTACCGAAGGAAGCCTTCGTCACTTACATTCCCCTGGCTTTAAAAAACAAGACAGATATTCCATCTTTCTTACATGTGAATTAGAATCAAGCCAGACTCAACTAATTTTTATATAATAATGTTATTAAACATTACAACTAAAAAGATAAAACCTAAGGCAAACTAAAAAAAAAAAAGTGAATAAAACTTTAAAAAGTGTGGAAAAGAAAATAATAGAAATAAAAATAGAAAATATAGAAATGTAGTAAAAAGAAGAAATATATAAAGGGATGACTTTCTTTCCTCAGAAGTGTAAAAGAATTTTAGGAATTTATCATCTACCCTTAAAATACAACAAATGAATTCTTTCCCCCAAATCTCATGTCTTATCTATAAGCAAATCCTTAAAGTCTCACCGTTCCAATCCTGATCAAAAGTTCATTAAGAGTTACCAGAGATAACGTATCTGTATTAATCCTGAACAAATAAACCAACTTTATCTTCCTTCTTTTTACTTGTAATAATCTTTAATCCCTTCAAATAATCTCCTAAAATTAAACTTCGTTTTTTCTTTGTCCCTTCTCACAAAGTTCTTCTTCAAAACTTTAACTTTGGACCCTTACTCTTTTTGTAAGTTTGCAAAATTAACACTCTAATCTCCCTTTTGCTATTTATTCCACACACACATTGTATTTAAAATGTCTTTCACTAAAGATTGACGGAAAGTCACCTGGTGCTGTGAAATCTGTCAATTCAAAGATTCCTTATAATTACAAAGCAATTGCCAAGCAATTCCTGAAAGTGATTAGAAAAGGAAATGCACAATAGCAATAGCACTTAGACTTATATCCCGCTTCACAGTGCTTTTACAGCCCTCTCTAAGCGGTTTACAGAGTCAGCATCTCACCTCCAACAATCTTAGTCCTCATTTTACCCACCTCAGAAGGATGGAAGGCTGAGTCAACCTTGAGCCAGTCAGAATCGAACTCCTGGCAGTGGGCAGAGTTAGCAATAGCAATAGCACTTATATCCTGCTTCACAGTGCTTTTACAGCCCTCTCTAAGCCATTTACAGAGTCAGCCTTTTGCCCCCAACAATCTTGGTCCTCATTTTACCCACCTCGGAAGAATGGAAAGCTGAGTCAATCTTGAGCCTGGTGAGATTTGAACTGCCGAACTGCTGGCAGCCGGTGATCAGCAGACATAGCCTGCAATACTGCACTCTAACCACTGCGCTACCGAGGATCCATAAAGGGTTTTAAGCAAGATAGCTACTTCTTTAATTCTCAGAGCTCTAAACCATCTGGAGATAGTGCCTTCTTGTGAGGAGCAAGCATCCGGAGCACTTGTGGGTGATCTCAGGCCTTCTCCTTGTCTGGAGAGGAATAAGCTCTACATGCTGGCTCTTCATTCAGCCATTATTTTTCAGTTCATCATTTCTTCCCCGGAAATCCCAGTCTCAACTAAATCTGATAAATAATTACCTTAGTAATTTACCCATCTACTAAAAATCTTGGAACAGAAGCGCACACATCTTTCCAGAAGTGGGAGAGAATTTCTGCTCCTGATCGTTGCAAAGGTGCTTTTTCAAGAGGCAACTGTACTTTCAAAGAAAAACAAGGAAGTCCAGTTGCCTCTTGAAAAAAAGCATGGGCAGGATCGAACTGATGACAGTGGGCAGAGTTTGCCTGCAATACTGCATTCCAACCACTGTGCACCATGGAAGGAAGGAAGGAATGAAGGAAGAAAGGAGGGAGGGAAGGGAGGGAGGGAGGGAGGAAAGAAGGAAGGAAGGAAGGAAGGAAGGAAGGAAGGAAGGAAGGAAGCACTTAGACTTATATCTTGCTTCACGTTGCTTTACAGTTCTCTCTAAGTAGTTTACAGATTCAGCCTATTGCCCCCCAAAATCTGGGTCCTCATTTTACCGAACTCGGAAGGACGGAAGGCTGAGTCAACTTTAAGCCGATGAAGATCAAACTCTTGGCAGTCGGCAGAATTAGCCTGAAATACTGCCTTCTAACCACTGCGCCAATACAGCTCCTGCCATATGAATTAACAATGGTCTTGCTTAGCAACAGAAATTTTGGGCTAAATTGTGGTCATAAGTCAAGGACTAGCTGTGCTATGCCATTTTTCCAGGCAGGCCATTACACTATCCCAAAGAATAAAACAAAAGAACAAACCTTTTGCTTGGTAAGGTTAAAAATTAATCTAATTTAGCCGTAGGTACCTGCAGTCTCCCGAGGCTAATATACAGTATCAGGGAAGCCTCCTTTGTCTGAAACCTCCGTTATTATTGCCTTATTCTTCTTCCATAAACAGATGTTTTTTGCTTTCACGCTGCAGCAAAGCTTCTGCCAATGAACAGTCAATATTGATCTTTAATACGTCACGTGCCCCATTACTGGTTTTAAGCCTGCCAAGCATTTGTGTCCCACTCTTCGTTCTAAATATGTTTAAATATAAATTGATATAAATTTGATTTATACACAGCAAATCTAGAGAAATAGATCAGCAGGTGTTAGCACTTACAAATTGCTTCTTTGTCTGTTTCATATTCTTTATAAAAATGTGTTATACAGTAGATATGTGTCTCTCTCTCTCTGTTGGTAGATACATGACATAGAGGTAGGGGTCGGGAGGGAGGGAGAGAGATGAAGATATATGATAGAAAGAGAGAGAGGATAGGATAGGATAGGATAGGATAGGATAGGATAGGATAGGATAGATAGGATAGGATAGGATAGGATAGGATAGGATAGGATAGATACACATGATATAGATGATCAATTAGATGATAGATAGATAGATAGATAGATAGATAGATAGATAGATAGATAGATGATAGAATGATAGATAGATAGATAGATAGATAGATAGATAGATAGATAGATATGGATGGATGGATGGATGGATGGATGGATGGATGGATGGATGGATGGATAGATGATAGACTGGATGGA